AATTATGTGATGGTATAAGAAATGATATGAAATATATATATATGTGAAAACAAGTATATGTTATGAGATAAGACCTATGACTATAAGCTACGTGAAAGTGTTCTAGGTGTTTCTATATATTATATGAAGTATATGATCTTATGTGAACAAGATATGATAAGTATGGTTATATGAATAAAGGTGATTGGGTGAGAAATGATAGAAATTATATGAAAACATGATATGTGACATGTGAATTATATGGAAATGATCTACGTGTAAGTGAACTACGTGACTATGTGAATACGAAAAGAAGCTATGTGATACGTGATATGTGAAAGTGAATTACAAGTTTATGTGAATATTTGAAATGAAATAAATGATAACGCCCATGTTATGTGTCATGAGAGCTAGGGGTATAGTTGGCATGCCAAGAGTCGAGGGTCTACGCGGTCCTTCGGGACATATGTATATTCTTTGGAACATGTGTGAAGTCTGGAAAGACACATATATGATCCCTAGCATATGTATATGATTCTTAAGGAATTCTATGTGGTCCTCATGGACATCATTATATGGCACTACGGTGCAATTCTACGCGGTCCTTCGGGATATGTATATTCTTTGGAACATGTGTGAAGTCTGGAAAGACACATATATGATCCCTAGCATATGTATATGATTCTTAAGGAATTCTATGTGGTCCTTATGGACATCATTATATGGCACTACGGTGCAATTCTACGCGGCACTTCGGTGCAATTATACGAGCTGTGGTGACAGCATCAGTGCACAACCTCTATAGACTCACATATCGATAGTTCTCACATATGTACATGGGCTAATCCAGAGATATGAACAAATATATGTTAGTGGTATGATAAATGCTATAGAAATGATATGATTTTGTGTGTGTATAGTGTTTGATTGACAAAGTATGTGATTACATGATAAACTGTTAATGATGAATTATGTGTATGTATGTATTTACTGTAATTAATCTGATATGATTTTATATGATATGAAAAATGCATGGAATTGCTATAACATGATAGAACAGAACATGCATGTATCGGTATATGTTATAAAGTGCATTATAAGTTGTTATGCCTCACTAAGTCTTCGACTTAGCGTGTGATTGTTTCACACGTAGGTTTCAAAAAGAGTAAGAGTAATGCGGAGCAAGACAGGTCAGTTTTCCTTACCAAAAGATCAGATCAGAAATATTTGACAAAGTATGTATTTGGTTATGTATAAAGTGTTGGCATGTAATAAGTCATTAAGTACGAGCACTCTGATAAAGTCTGTATTTTGTTTTAAATAAAGTTTTAAATTTCCCGGGATTTTTCTTAAGAGTCAAGGTTTGAAAAGTCAATGTGACACTTCGGACTCGTATCCGGGTTGGATACGGGTTGGGGGTGTTACAGTACTGGCGTTGACGATTATCGACAATTGACGACGGAGATCAGGGATGGGTGTTCTAACAGTTTTCTCGCGATTTGGACAAACGGTTGGCGATTAGTATAAATCAAGGGTCAGGGTGTGGTTGGGAGGCGACGTTTGTGCCGATGGTGATGGTGGTGTGACCCATCGCTAACTGAAAGTGGGGTGAACGGGAGAAGAAGAAGAAGAAGAAGGGATAAGGGGGTTAACGACAGTTAAGTGTCATGTCAGTAAATGGTTACAACAGGGACCTTACTGCAAACGATTAAAAGTTGAGTGGCCAAAATATAAGTGTCCTAAAAATTCAATGACTATTTACCTACTTTACCTTTTTTTAATTAGTCGATGATTAAAATATAATATTTATTTAAAAAATAATTATTTTATAACAAACATTTAAATATTTTATAAATGTTATGCTCGAATTTAAAATCTCTAAAAGTAATAATCATTTATTCAAGTATATATAAAGGATTCTTTCATATTGTGTCATATGTCTGGTGTATATTTTCACACGAGATAATAAATAAATTTGATTTTTACGAATAAAATATTTATTTAGTTATTCATATATTATTTAGTTTTATTTTGATCATTTAACTATTATTCTTTTAAATCATACTTAATATTACGTTTTGGTTTTATTTTAGTCACTCATCTTTTAAAAAATTAATGGTAATGTCGTTATGGTAAAAAAATCATATTGACATTATATTACCTTATGGTGACATGTCAGTAATATCGTTTAAAACTTTACAATATATGATTAAAATAAAAACAAAACAAAACAAAACTATATTAGATATAATTTTAAAAAATAATAATTTGATGACTAAAATATAAACAAAGTAATAGGTGGATATTTTGGTCGTTCCTCGCGTTGGAAACGCTGCAGCTCACTTCCTGGCCACGGTTGCATCAGTGGGAGACGAAGGCAGGTTTAGGATCGAAGAGGCCCCACAACCAATGATGGTGCAAACGTCGAAGGATAGACGCTGGATTAATCCCTTGGTAAGGATTTGGGGTGAAGCTTTTAAGACTCTTAGGTGCGTCTGGTTTACGGAATGTAAGATTATCAGTGGGAATAAAAGATTACCGGAGAATAGGATTACTGGGAATGTTGTATTTTATGTTTGGTTGGTTTAGTAGAAATGTAAGATTACCGTGTTTGGTTAAAGGAATAAAAGATTATTGGAATGTATATTTGACCAAATTGTTCTTATTATATATTTGTATAATATTACAAATTGTACAATATTTATATATTTTATTTAAAAAAATTAAATTCATAATATTTATATAATTTTTTTACAAAATTAAAAATATAAAAAATGTTTAATGAAAGGGTAAAAAAAAATTTACCTCTGAACTTCATATAAAATTTTAATTATAGATTTTTTTTGTAAATCTAAAATAATTTAAGGATAAATTTATAATTTAATCTTCGTAGAATTTTTATTATTCAATGACAGAAGAATGATATTTTTGAAAAAAAATAAAAATTTAAGGGCATTTTAGTCCAAAACGCCGGTAATGTTACAATACCTAAGGGAAATGAGATAATGACATTCCCGGTAATATACCCCAAAAAATCTACTATTGATAATAAAACATTACCGGAAATGAGATTTCCGACCAACCAAACATGAGAATGTGCCACAATCCTTGAACCAAACACCCCATTATTTGTTTTCTTTTATTCTCATGGTCATTTGATCGTCGTCAAACCTTTACCACGGAGGGGATCTACCGGCTGAGTTAATTTTTATGTTTTGTTTTGCATTTCTGTCATTGGTTGTCGATTTCTACTTTGACCATTTATAATGCTTTGGTTTTTGCTTTGATGGTTGGCAAGACTTTATGAGCTATCATTTATTATTGTTCAATAAATTTTATCGGCCTTTCACGTTTAAAAAAAATCAACTTAGTCAAAGTTTAGTTAATATCCGATTCAAATAGACTCGTTTTAAATTCAAACTCGACTAAAATTTTTAATAAGTCGAAACTAATTACTTAATATCTGACTCAAAAAACTCATGAGTAATTAAAAATATATATTGAAATTTTAATTTTTTTAATTAAATTATTAATAATAAATTTTGTTTTTAATAAAAAATACAATATAAAATTTTCAAGTACTTTGAACACGAGTTTAAACTTTAATCGAGTTAAATTGAAAATATTTTTAGTTTAATTTTTTTCAGTTCGAGTCAAACTTCAATTTTAAATTCGAGTAAAACTTAATAATTTTAACTCGTAAATTTTCAAATCAAATTTAAATTTAAACCTTTTGAATCAAATCAAACTTAATAAACCTCAAATTCGACTCTTAACTTGTTTACGGTCATAGACATGAATCTTATGAGACACAAAGGAGAATGAACAGGCCCACGAAAATCGTATAAAGAATGAAGACCTCAAACAAAATTGAAGGGCCCAAACAAATAATTTAAGAGCGCTTATATATATATTATATATATATATATATATAGAGAGAGAGAGAGAGAGGGTTTAAAAAGGGGTTTGGTAATCTTCTATTTTTTTTCCCATCCTTCTGTCTTGGATTTTTCTATTGAAAGGAAGAAGCTGGTAATGATAATGGAGGATGCCAATGTTGCAGTTGGAAAAAGAAAAAGAAATATGGGTAAAAAGAAAGGTAACAAAACCAAGAATAAGAAGCTTAAAATGTTGGAGGGTAAAGGAAAAAAGTTTAGAGTAAGTAATTAAATGAAAAATCTGTTCGAAAAACGAGCCCGTGATTAGGGATGGCAACGGGCCGGGTTTGGGTCGGGTATTGGTCCCCCGTCTCCGTCCTCGTTTAAAAAATCGGTATCTGTCCCCGTTTAAAAAATCACAGGGATTTAAATGAGGATCCCCGTCGGGTAATCGGGGAAAACCGCGGGGAAATGGGTATCCCGTTTAACATAAACGGTTATTTAAACGGGTATTGGGCCGGGTATTGGGTCGGGTATTGGGTCGGTATTGGGCCGGGAATCGAGCCGGGTATATGTATATATTTAAATTAAATATATATTTTTTATTTAAATTAAATTTATTAATATTATATATATATATAAATAATTATTTTTAATATTTATCGGGTCGGGTATCGGGGCGGGTAATCGGGGCGGGGATTACCAAACCCGTCCCCGTTTAAAATAAATGAATTTTCCCGTCCCCGTTTATCATCCCCGAACCCGACCCGTTTAATTCGGTTTTCTACGTCAGGTTCGGGTTTTTTTGCCATCCCTACCCGTGACTACAATTCCGATGACGACGAAGAAGAGGAGGAGCGGAAGGAAAAGGAAAACACGGAGGCGGCGGAGATAATTCTTCTGAAGGAAGTGACAATTCAGGAGGAGGAGAAGAAGAAGACGGAGGAGGTGGCATTCATCCTGGGATTATGAAATTTACAGAAGGTGATAGAGCATTCAGGGTTGCATTTAAGAACATTATAAAGAGGAATGTAGCTAATGATTCATTGGTAAAGCAGTTTCTAAACTCGGGTCTGTTTCATTTCAGAAGGGAAATTGTGTTTCCCCCCCCCCCGGCTCATTGTTATAGGGTCCCGTGTTATCTGGTCAATGATAATCTAAAGAAGAGAACTTGTTGCAGATTTATACGCCAGGGTATTCAGGTTCGTTTAACTCTTGCTGTTATTCTCCTCAGAACACAAATTATTTTATGTCACAAGATGCATAACTTGTCTGTTATTTCTTCAGTTGTGGGAGGTTGACGATTTGCAGATCAGGAATGGCCATTACAATGTTGTTCTCAACTAGCATGGGTTCATCTGTCAGAGGTTTTTGTTATTGTACTTTTCTGTCAAAAACATATCAGAAAAGTTTTACATTTATTCTCACATTACTGTGATTCGCAGTCTCGCATTAGATACTGGCCGAGATTCCAGCATTTTTGTCGCAAACAAATTAATTGATATGAACATCATTAAGATAACAAAGTTGATCATGCAAATGAATTCATTTTTCCCTGTTTCACTTCTCATCCTTTAAATCTTTTATCCTGTTCATTAGAACTTCCCAAACATGGACGCATGCTCTGCATTTCGTTTTGTCTTTAACCATGAATCGACTAAGAAGTATGTTGGGCACAAAAGTTTTGCACAGGAAACACAAGTACATGTGTTTCACTTTAAAAATTTCATGCGTCTCCTGCATTTCTCTTCTGAGATAAAACAACTTATTTCAGCTTAACTTGTATCTGAAAAGTACACCTTGCTTATGCTATGATTTGTAGTTGTACTAGAATAAATTAGATAATATATTTTCAGATTTTGAGCAAGTGTCTGTAATTTCTTGCAGTAATCTTTTCACTGGCCTTGCTTGTCGAACTTTACTTGATATTTTCCTGGTGCACTATCTTTGTTATCTCAGAAGTTTCAGTGTTTCTGAATGCAACGGTTGAAACTGTTTTCGTTTTATTTCTTCTGATCATGCAGAGAAACAGTTAACTTTTAAGAAATCTTCTTGATGTGGTTGAGGAAATACAGATAGCACGGTTAGAAATTAGAAATATGACACTTATCTGCTTTCATTCTCCATCAGGTACAGTTTTGTCATTATGTTATTTGTAACATGGTTTAAATCCTTGAATCAATGGCTTTGGAGAATTTGCAATTTGATTCTTTTTATGTTTATATTTTGGGGTGGACATTGGGTTGCTAAGGTTTGAACCAAGCCTCTTGTTACCAGCGGATCTCGGCAATTTGATTCTTCTCTTGAAACCAAAGTCGAGATTGATGGCTAGATCACTTTTCTTGTTAAATATATTACCTTTTGAAGCTTGTTTGTGTTTTCTCCGGCCTTGAAATTGTCTTATTTATTCTTTATTGTTATTTTTTATTGACTGGAATGGGGATAATTAATTTGAGGCTCCTAGATACCTTTTTCACTAGTGGTAGGATGGAATAACAGTCATGAAGCAAATAATGCTTAGGTTTCTTTCTTGAGTCAGTTGGACATACTCAAGGTAGAGTCTCTTATGTAATTACCATTCTAAGTTTTAAAGCTTCTATCTCATCCAGTTCTTTTTTGTAGTAGGGTTGTAAAAATGGTTTGGGCATAACCATACGTGGCTTGGCAAAGTAAAATCTGTTGCTTGAACTACTTTTGCACCTAGTCTGTTGAAAATACATGTTTTATCAGATTGAAACTTGATAGCACCCCTATGCTTTGCAGCTAAGCAGCTTGATTTGCAGCTTGGTTTCATTGATTTTGACAGTGGTATAAAGGTGACAGTGACTTGATGTGACGTGTTTGAACTGGTAATGTAAATTGTTCTTTGAACATTTTCACTAATAAACATTTTGTAAGTCTGATGCTATAACATTTTCATTTTAACTGGTTTAGTTTATAGCTGGTAAAGTCTGATACATTATTTTATCTGAATTGCCCAGTTTGAATGACGACTCTTGTCATGACATATTTGAACTGGTAAAGTTGCATAAATTGCCTCCTAAATGCTATCACCGATAAGCAAGCATTTTGCAAGTCTGATGTTTTATCTTATATCGGAATTGTAGAATGTATCTGGATTTAATATGTATTTTATTTTGTATTAAAGTTGTATTTTCTGATTATCCATTCAGATTTTTGTTCACTAGCTTGAACCAAAAGTGGGGGATAAGTTCAGATTCTTCAGTGAAAAGGGTTAATTTTTCAGCTTTCAGGTTGGTTAGGTAGGGAACCTCCTGCCTGCTATGAAGTATAGGTGGCTGTTCAGTCAACATTTCCCTATTTTACTAGTGAAAAAGTTGGCGATTTTACCGAAAATCACTATGATATGAAATAATTATCTATAAGTCATTGTTTCACCAAATTTTCTTAATCTAGCACCTTTTCTTATAAGGCTCGGTTCATCCGGCCTTTGAAGGGTTTCGTCCGAGTTGACGTCACATAATGAAAAACATGGATAACTTTATCCGAGTTGACGTCACGTAAGGACAGGCACGGATCGCCATCCGCGCTTTACTATTTTAAAATTTTAGAAAATAAAACTGATGAAGAATCGGGCAAAAATAACGAAAGAATACAAGAATTTTAACGAGGTTCGACAATGTGTTTACGTCCTCGATGCTTAGGCGGCACTAGAAGTTTTATTCAATGTCTCATAGGTTTAGGTTACATCTCTATTTATAATAAAAAAACATGATACATAATTACATAATTAACCTTGTACCGTACCCCCAACCCATATAATCTTAACTCCCTCTACGAGATTTTCTTTGTAAGGACAGTTGATGTTCGCTGCGTTCGCTTCGCTCACTCCGCTCCACCCCTTATCCTCTTTACTGGTGTATTTATGAGTCATACCTATAAAAAACTAAAAGGACTAACATCGTAATTTAATAGATATTAATTCCATGAGTTGAAGAACTTAACGGATTATTTTATATATGCATATTGGAGTGTTTAGGTTATGTTTATTGATAATGTGCAATAAAAACTAAAATGTGCATTTCTTGATGGACATATTTATATGTATTTACATTATCTTTAGTTATAAATATTAAGAATATAAAGCAAAATTTACGTAAAAAAATGAGAGTTCATATATTATTATTATTTATTTATTAAGTATTGATTGACATATTTTTTACACATTTATGTTATTATTATTGATCGATGGTCGGTTTATGATTTAACATGTACAACGTATGCATAATATTTTTAGAAAAAAATCAATATTCTTAAAGGAGTTTTTATGTTCTTTTTCAATTATTCAAATTACAATTCTTTTAAAGAGTTATTTATTATTATCATTTCTCCTCAAAATTTTCGAGAAGAGTAATATCAATAATTTCATCTTTAGCACTCTAAAATTATACGTATTATAAAAAAAATGTGTTAAATCGATAAAATTTAATATGTAATTATTTGGTGTGATTTTTCGGTGAAACCGAAAAAGTGATGTTGGGGAGTATAGAAAAGTTTAGAAGAAAAGGTAATTTTTGTGGTGGGGACATGGGGAATTTTGTTGGTATAATGTTATTATGTTATGATAATAAAGGTTATCAATCATTGAGAGATAAGGGCAGTTTGGGCAGTTGGATTTAGAGAGAAAATTGGAAAAAGTGAACCGATAAATCACTTTTTGTGGGGTTAAATCTGACAGGTCTCATCAACTTGTTCATTATTCATTCACAAATGCTTGCAAATGCCTTATCTGAATATATAGTTTGCTATTTGTGTTTTTCATTTCCTTTCAAAATTTTGGAGTTGTGGGATTGGGTTTCATGAATGATATTTTATAATTTTAAGATCTCTTACGGAAGTTAATCTCAATCTGATGTTGGGAGCAACTTACTATTCCACCTCACCCTTGTTCCATTACATATGAAAATAAGGATCCACTAATTATATCCTTTTAAAACCATGTGTTTTTAAATAAAAAAGATTTCTAAAATGTATGCATTCAAATATTTATTATTTTACAATTGGAATAAAAATTTCACATCTAAATATCGAATTCAGTGATTGATGTATGCGTTCAGATACTTTCTTATTAAATCCAAGTGAAAATTTTCCCGAACCTTCATTTTGTTTTTAAAAAATGTTTTTGTAATTTTAGTTTAAAAACATGCATATATTTACGGATAAGTCGTCTATATTTCATAATTATTATATTCAAGTCGTGTAATTTTGTGATTAAATTTAGATTAAATTATATTATTTGTTGTTGTTTTAAGCATGTCTTTGCCTTCACTGTTAAGTTTCTGACTAATTGGAATTGAAGCAAAGAGTCGCGTTATTCACAAGTAGAGAAAGACTTTTCAAGAAAGCATTTGAGAAGTTTTTCTTTTTTTGATCAATTTTTTTTTTTGTAAATTTATAAAAAAAAATTAATTACATAAATTCATTCATTTGTCTCTAATAATAAATTAATCACTGTATTTACCATCTTAGTCATTGAGTTTCCACACCCTCTTGACGGCGTGAACCGCCACAACAAGTGCATAGGTACCATGTTATAAAAGGATATTTTCCCTTTATCGAAACCTATTTTTAGGTCAATATTTTATTCAATTCCCGCTAAAAATTAGGCCGATTTTCAGATTTAGACACGCGACCCACTCTTAAGCCCGTACATTTATTTAATATAAAAATATTTTTTCCAGCATAATTTCAAAGGTAAATTACGTCATATTTCACTTAGTTTTGGATATTGTATCGTTTATATTATTAAACTTTCAATTGATTCAGATAGAACATTAATTTTAATTTTTACTTCAATTATACTATTGGAGTGTTAAATTTTAATGGCACGGTGATGTGGATGAATCTTTCTGTTACTGTAGTGATGTGAAAAAATGACATCATTTTGTCATGATTATTGATACCCAAAACGACATCGTTTTAGGCGTTAAACTTTAGGTGTGTATATATTTTATCACTAAATTTTAAAAATGTTCAATTTTAACCTTTTAGGCACTAAACTTTTCCAATCGTCATTCGTAATCAATCGTTGCCTTACATCAACCGTCTTTTATAGCAAGATCGATATCAATAAATTCTCACTCATCTAAATATCTTTATTCTCTTATGATTAGTTTCCCACAACCCACTCAAAATCAACATAAATCCATTTAAAAATTCGACGTGCTAATACTTCTATCTTCTTCGATAAGGCTAGTTTTGATATATGTTGTTCATATTCTCGAAATATTACTTCTAATTGTTTATATTTTTGAATAAATGCCCCAAACCCTTTAAATTTGATAAAGCCCCAAACCCCTAAAAATGATAGATATTTTTGTTTATTTCCACTAATCTTTAGTTAGTTTCACGAAAAATCAATCATATAAGAAGAAAGAATAGTGAAATACGAATGTTTTGGTATCGATCTTATTGTGAAAAGACCAACAATGATGGAGATAATTGGCTATCGAAGACAATTAGAAAAACACAGTGTCAAAAAGTGAAATGTTTAAAAGTTTAGTTGTAAAATTGATACACCCATAAAAGTTTAGTGCCTAAAATTATGTTATTTTAGGCATCAATGGTCGTATCATAATGATGTCATTTTGTTCATGTCATCACATTATTTGAATTTTAACGACCCATTGGCATATATGAAATCAAACTAAAGTTTACTCTATAATTAGAGTAATTGAAAGTTTAGTCACATAAATGATACAATGTCTAAAGTTAAGTGGTATTTAGTGAATTTACCCTAATTTCAATGTATATTAAAAACAAGGGAAAACTACATATTTAATACTTAAACTATTACTTTTATTCTATTTTGATATCCAAATTTTACCTTTTTTTAAAATCATCCATAACATTTAGTTTAGGTTTCAATTTGGTACCCCAATATTAAAACCTTAACGATGATGTTGACATGTTATTATAAGGTAATATCACATAATCATTGGAAAAACTAAAAAAAATGACATGTCAGTCGTTTTGTTAATTTTTTAACAACATGTATCAAATTAAAACTTAAACTAAACTTTAGGTATGATTTAAAAAAGTTTAAATATTAAAACATAACAAAAAGAATAGTTTAGGCATTGAAGATGTAGTTTACCCTAGAAACCATATAGGAATGTTGAAGCTTTTGGTAGGAGGGACCAAAGACAGGAGGGACCTAACTTTTTGTTTGAGGGTTGAAAAGGATAGTCTCCCACTTTCTGTTTGAGGATTGAAAAGGATACTCTACCACTTTCTGTTTGAGGATTGAAAAGGACACTCTACCGCTTTCTGTTTGAGGATTGAAAAGGATACTCTCCCACTTAGCCCATTGTGCCTTTCTTATCTACTTAAAAATATTTAATTTCTCTCTCATTGCACTTTTTAGCCGAGTCATCAAATTTCCCTTGTTCACCCACCATTTTCTATCTATTCCTTGCATCAACTCAAAACAGAGGGGAAAGCAAACAGAGCAAACGAACAAGGAAAGATAAATTCTGGAAAGCTCTTTGTTCTAGGGTTTCTCGTTGTAATTGTTTTTCTTTTAAATCATATCTATATTTCAATATTACAGCTAGTAACCGATCTTGTCATTCTCACGGTAAATTTCTTATCCTCTCTTCATCATGCTTTTAATTTGATTTTCCTTTCAGGGTCTTTTTCTTTTTCTCTTTTATTTGGGTTTTAGATTTACTTTTTTATTTGTTATTGTCTATGGGTTTGCTCGTTTGTTTATTGATATTCTGTTTTTCCCTCTTTGGGTTAATTTGTTTGTTTGTGTAGTTTTGCTCTGATTATGGAGTTCAGTCTTTGGTTTAAAGTTTTAAATTTTCCTTTGATTTATTAATTTTACATGTCCTGGAATGGAATTAGTTTTGCTTGTAGTTGTTTTATTGGGCTGCTTACTCTCTGCCTTTTCCTTTTTTATTTAAATTAAAAAGTAGTTTCATTTTTCCTTCTTATTTTATTTTGACTGTTTTAGTAGTCACGATAACTTTAAAATTTAATGAGGTATTTTCTCTCTTCTGCTTATTCTGTTTTGAGTGTGTGTATGTGTTATGCGTGTTAACTTATTCTCTTATTGACAATAAATCTATGTTACTCGCCTTGAGTGTAAGTGTTGTACGAGCTTATATGTAGAATAAGGGTATGATTATGACTAGATTTTTCTAAGTTTTTCTATAAATTTGGAGTATCCTTGGAGGTCATAAACTTGTTTCGAAGTGTTGGACACAAGTACTTAATGAAAATTGAAGAGCCTGAGCAATATAGCAATAATTTATTGTTTTCTGTTTGTTTCTGGGTGCTTGGAAGTTAGAACTGTTTACTTTTTGGCTGTAATTATAGAGAAAAATAGTGAGTCACTCTTAAACAATGCTGTGAACTCTTGGATGATCAAAGGGACTAATAGAATAATGGAATTTGAATTTTGAACCCTTTGCCATATAACTATTGTATGAGCAAAATTTAAGCACTTAAGCTACCCCATATAGTCAGTAGATAACTAGATATTGATTAGCTTGCTTTTACATCAAATATGAACTGGAATCTCTTCTAACAACAATCCTTTTTCCCCTCTCTAAATGGCAGATATTGAAGTGCATGCAGAAATAGTGGAGTGACAGAGTCTGGGATCATATGAGAAGTTACTTGCTCTGCTTGATACATAGTTTGCTTAGAAGTCTGTAAATTTTGGAGATAAATTTTAGGTTTTTGTTTGTTGTGTGATTGGAAAAATGGGTTACATTTGTGATTTCTGTGGGGATCAACCGTCGATGGTATATTGCCGGTCTGATGCTGCCTGTTTATGTTTGTCATGCGATCGGAATGTCCATTCTGCTAACGCACTGTCAAAACGGCACTCGAGAACATTGTTATGTGAAAGATGCAATTCACAGCCTGCTTTTGTTAGATGTTCTGAAGAAAAGGTTTCCCTCTGTCAGAACTGTGATTGGATGGGTCATGATGCCTCTACCTCGAATTCTATGCATAATAGGCAAACAATAAATTGTTACTCTGGTTGCCCATCATCTGGGGAACTTTCTTCCATATGGTCATTTTTTTCACAATCTGCTTGTGAGGAGGAACTAGGTCTGATGAGCATTTCTGAGAACATAGAGAGTAATTCTTGGGGCCCTACAGAAAATACCATTTGCTGGAATAGTGCTGGTGTGGCTGAAGTTAATTGTGATCTCAATGTGGATATGGGAAATGGCTGGGGTGGGACTTCAGTTCCTGAAATCAGATCAGCGGCACAACATATGGATCAGCCAGCCGGACCAACAGATACATCACTGACCAAGGTAAATGATGAACTTTGAATTTTTATCCTTGGCAAACTTAGATGCACTATTCTTGAGGTGCTTTCATGGGACAATATTAAAGAACTATGATAAGCATTTAAAGAGTGGGTTTAAATTTGCAAATGTTTCGTGCAATCTGCACTTAATAAGAAGAACAAATTACTAATGAGTGTTCAGGGATAACTGCACCTTCTGACCAGCCAGCCAGTTTGAGGCTAAAGTGACGAATTCCTTTTCTGATTAGTTTCTTCTGTGGAAGAACAATATGTCAATTTCCATTCCTTCCTTTTCATGGTTACCTTTTATGACGGAGTAGATGGTCCATCCAGAATATCTTTTTATTGAACTTGATTGGATTTTCATTTAAATGTAAAAGATTTCAATCTTTCAGTGAACCTACAGTATATCTTGTTTTTGTTTTCAGTGGTCTCTTTAGATATTTTTATCTCTTGGCCAAATAGTAACTCAAGTATTTGTGTACAAATAACTTTTCAAGAAGGCCTTAAAAGTAAAATTACTAAATCAGTAATCTGGTCCTCGGTTATATTTTTCGTCTTTTTCCTATTTTTGCCAAGGTTTCATAGTAGGAATCTAGATCTCTCTGATTTTACCCATATGAATTTCTTTCTGCTTCTAGGCTCATGCCACCATCTACATTGTTGAAGTTTTACATTTTTTAATTGAGAAGGAAAAGACCAGTGTAAAAGTGGTGGAAAAAAAAGAAACAGGGAAGTTATCAAAAATTTATTTTAACGTTAGAATAGTCATTAGAATAACCTCTCGTTATTCATGATTCTACAAAAATTAGCTTAGATGGCTCAAGTTCATTTCTAACATATTTGTGAAAATTTCTGTAGGTTTCCTTTAATTACTAGTAGAGATAATATGTTCCTTTCTTGAACCTTTTTTTAATTTCGTACTTCATTAATTTGCAGTTATTCTACCCTCAAACAAAGTGTCCCGGACTTGGTGAAGATGATCTGTATGATGACTTCAACATGGATGAAGTTGATTTGAACCTTGAAAACTATGAAGAACTCTTTGGGGCAACTCTCAATCACTCAGAAGAAGTTCTAGAGAATGGTGGAATTGATAGCTTATTTGGGACAAAAGACACACGTGCTGCTGATTCCAACTGTGAACCGCCCGCTGAGGTTAGTTTGTTTCTTTTATTCTTCCTTTGTTGTATCTGTATTATCTTTCTCTGAAGATAGTATTGTCATATTTCCAGTTTTTATACATTTTTTATGGTGTTCTTAGTATTTATGATATATAGCATATTTCAACTATTAGTTTTTTTTTGTGTAAATGGAAGCATTCATTGTCAAATTAAAACAGGGATAAATTGACAATCGTGAGAAGCTTTAATTTGATGAATTCTAGTTGTGGGCATGGTACAATTTATTACAGTTTGTACTAGATTTTCCATTCTGTTACTCAAAGCAAAATATTCGTTTTGGCGGAGTAACAATAGGATCAATGACCTTGATTTTCAGACATGACTAGTGTTTCCAAATGAAGTTTACTGTCCTTCCATTTTCCGTGTCTTCTTTTTGAATAATGATTAAAGGAAATTATCCCTTTTTACTTGTTTCAGTCGTTTCTAAAGGATCTTTCAGAAAAAAATGGGTTTCTAGAGGAAAACAATAACCTTGATTTTCAAAAGGAACCCTTCCACTTTTGGAAGTGTTGATTATATAGCCATTAAAGGTGATGAGATTAAGGATTCCGCAAGTTTGCAAATATACTAGTACTTGATCTTTCAGTGTCTTCTTGATCATTAATAATTCAAGTTTCTTGTAAAACATGTATGTCTTAACAGTTTACTTATGAACATGGGCACTTTAATCTGCTTGGATATTACATGTTTGTTTTATCTTCATTTGGAGTCATACTGTACATAATCAGTCATAATGCCCTGAGAATTTCAAGTTGTATTTGGAAAATATTCTTATGATAGGAGCATCCTTGTCCAGGGCTCCTCTGTTGGACTGGTCAATGAAATCCAGCCAGCATGCAGCAATGCAGCATCTGCTGATTCCTTGATGAGCAATAAAACCGATTCAATTCTGTGTTTTACGGCAAGGCATGCTCATTCAAGCCTCTCGTTTTCTGGCCTTACTGGAGAGAGCAATGTTGGAGATTATCAAGATTGTGGGGCTTCATCAATACTTCTAATGGGAGAGCCTCCTTGGTGTCCGCCATGTACTGAGAGCTCCTTCCCATCATCAACTCGAAGCGATGCTGTTATGCGTTACAAGGAAAAGAAGAAGACACGGAAGTAAGTGTACACTAATAAACCATATAGAATCTACATTTGTGAGTTTAGTGGTTCTTGCTTAACAAAGTTCTGGAACTTGGATGATCTTCCTTCTAATTCCTCTCCTGCTTCTGAATGTCTAGTTTTGGATTGATTTGCCACATGGTTTACTAATTAGGCGATAATCAATTTGGGAAGCACGTGGAGTCGTTACTTTCAGTCTTAACATTATATTTTTACTGCTAGTCTTGATTGCAAACCTTTAAAAGAAATTACTTATGTTAAACTTCTTCACTCTTGTTGCATGATAGGTTTGAGAAGCGAGTGCGATATGCCTCTCGCAAAGCAAGGGCTGATGTGAGAAAGCGAGTGAAGGGACGCTTTGTCAAAGCTGGTGATGCCTATGATTATGATCCATTGAACCAAACCAGAAGCTGCTGAGAGTACAATTTTTATAACCATGCTTAGAAAAAGGAAAGAAACACGTGATGTTAGTTTGGAAGAATTGATTATTCTTGCCTAAAATGAAGAAATCAATGCTCATCTTTCATTATTTTCTTGACTAGTTAAATGACAGGCTATGTATGGTTGTATCTCAAGTCCCCAGGTTTTATCACCAGATGTTGGAAACAAAATCACCACAAATAAATCACCGAGGCCTGGTTCTGCATTACCGTAAAAAGATTCATCGATTGGGACACCATTCATCGAGATTATATTGCCTTTCCCTCCAGCCAGGCCACTGATTTCAACCTGCAGTGTTCATATAAAAGCATGCAACTCTAATTTTGCTCATTCTTTCTTATTTGACATTTATGTACAGCGTATGGATCTTATCTTTCCAAGTTTTTTAATTTGTATGCCAAAAGTAAACAGCTGTGCTTCCTTGGTCGGACAATAAATATGCACTTTGTAATTCTCTCTCGTGTACACTACTGTATAATGTCTTGCTACTGTTTGGTGGGGTTCCCAAATCTCATTACATCATCTCATTCAACTCCAAATTTCCTACCTCTAAATTGGGTTGTTCCATTGGAATGATATAATTCCAGACCTTCTGGATTATATCAGTTTATTTACATGTGTGCTTATATTATACATTCATATTAGATTATTTATTTACATTTTTATCATATTATTGGTTGGTGTGATTCATTATATACAGAGTTAATGTTGTTTTTTCGAAGAGTAATGGTAATGGTGCCAATTTCTAAATCCTTCCTCTCTTGGGATCATATTCACTTCTAAGATAGGACTGAAAATGAACTGAATTAAACTTTATTATTATTGAGCTCGACTCGATTTAAAAATTCGTAAATTTAAAATTGTCAAACTCGATTCAAATTTGAAATAAAAATTGAACGTCGACTAAAATTTTCAAGCTCTCATTGTTAACTGGAAAGACGAACGTTAGCACCAAAGCATAATCCTGCAATCAAGAAATGAATCCCATGCCCTCCGCTGCTACTTCACCAACTCAATCCATTTTTTTTTCAGTTTCTGATACGAATTTAGAACAAAAGGTTTTCTAATTATTGTAAAATTCCTTGTAATGACATGGCTGATTGTAGACATCCTTCATATTTCTGCTGGTCGTCTTCTTCGTTGAATTTGGTTCTAATCCTTGTTATACCCTTGGTCGTGTTCTTACTTCTTGTCTCTACGTTTGTAATTCCTCAGCCTTCTACTTTGTCTCCGCCACGGACATGGAGGTTTGGCGCCCACATCTCCCATGGGTCCTCGACGGATTCTTCTTTCATGGAAGCTGAAACCTATAAACATGCCGCCGACACGTCTTTTTCAGACGCGTTTATTGTCAGCGACATTGATAATAATGTTACATCCACGACGAGAAGAGTTGTGAAGCGAACCAGCAAGTTGGAGAAGCTTGAAGCAAATATGGCGAAAGCCCGACCTCCATTAAAGAGGCTGCTCAAGCTCGGAACTCGACATCGGTTCATCAAGACCCAGATTATGTTCCTTAAGGTCCAATATACAGAAATGTAAACGCTTTCCATAGGTAGTACAAATAATAAATAAAATTTATGACTAATTTCCAATTTACTAATGTTCTTATTGAAATCAAATTGATTTAGGAGTTACTTAGAGATGGAGAAGCTTTTCAATATATGTGTATCAGGAAGGAGAGCCACCAATGTTCCATAATGGTCCATGTAAGAGCATATATTCTTCAGAAGGAAGGTTCATTCATGAAGTGGAAAGTGGAAATTTTTATACAACTCAAGAGTCTGATGACGCTTTGGTTTATTTCCTTCCATTCAGTGTTGCCATGCTGGTACGTTATCTCTACGAGCCTGAATCCCATAAAACCGACATTGGACGGGTCGTTGTCGACTACGTTGACCTCATTTCAAGCAGATATCGTTACTGGAATCGAAGCCTCGGTGCTGACCATTTCATGTTCTCCTGCCATGATTGGGTAAGTAAACTAATAAATATACATGTGGACTATTGGTTGATTACTCTTAATGTATTCGGTCATGAAATTTACTTGCAGGGGCCACTTGCATCACCCTATGTGCCTCTTTTGTTCAACAATTCCATTAGAGTTTTGTGCAATGCAAACACTTCTTAAGGGTTTAATCCAGCTAAAGATGCCTCATTTCCAGAAATCAATCTTGTAACCAATGAAGTGGAGACGATACTCGGCGGTCTTTCCTCCTCTCGCCGGTCCATTCTCGCCTTTTTCGCCGGCCATCTCCACGGATACATCCGGTTCCTCCTTCTGAACGAGTAGAAGGACAAACACGATCCGGATGTCCAAGTCTACGACCAACTTCCCAAAGGAGTTTCATACACGTCGAAGCTGAAAAACAGCAGGTTCTGCCTATGTCCAAGTGGATACGAAGTGGCGAGCCCCCGAATCGTAGAGGCCATCTATGCCGAATGTGTTCCAGTGTTGATTTCGGACGGTTTTGTGCCGCCGTTCAGCGATGTCCTGAACTGGAAATCAATCTTGTAACCAATGAAGTGGAGATTTTTTGGTCAGGTGACTAGTAAATGCCCAAGACTCGTGAAAATTGCAGGCACAGCAAATCTAATGATCAGTTGTCACATATATCGAAGGAGGCGGGTTGGGGCAATCCCCCTTGAAAATATGATCCGATCTATTTTCTTTTTCTTATTTTATAACTTAAAGAAATAATAAATACGGACGGTGTCCAATGGCTGTGATCTATACTTCTGATGACTGCTTGTGAAATGACAGCCACCCAATTATTAATTTCCAGTTTCTCTAAATATCAATTATAATCATTACGTAATTCCCATACCACCCTTCGTTCATTTCCACATCTGAAAAAGATCAATTCTTCTTCCAAGGGTGCGTCTTGTAATTTTGAGTAAACAATAATGTTAAATTCATTCCCCAAAATCCCATCAATTTCAGATCATCTTCCTTCCCTTTGGCCTACCTTAAAACTGCCGCTGCATATTGCATATTCACTTGTAATCTCAGTGAAATCGCGACAACACCAATGGCGACTATGGCTGCGATCGGTGCTTTAAGGTTACCTTCTTCAGCATCAAATGCTACTTCTATTTCTTCGAGTCGTAAACCCTCCGCCACTCAGAGCTTGTTTTTCTCAGCTTCCACTCTTTGTGGGGATAAGCTTATTTCAAAAATGGCTACCGGTTCCCCTGGAACGAAAAGAACTCCGTCAATTGTTTCGCCAAAAGCGGTATCCGATTCTAAGAACTCGCAGACATGCCTTGACCCCGATGCTAGTCGCGTAAGTTTCAGCTTATCACCGAATATTTTGTCTGATTGAAAATGAGAAAGAAAAAAAATGCCGATACGCATTTGATTGATCAAATAACTGAAAGGCGAAAGGCTTTATGTTTTTTTTGCTTGAAATTGGGGAATTTGCTTGTTTTTTGGCAGAGTGTTTTGGGGATTATTTTGGGAGGTGGAGCAGGGACAAGGCTTTACCCACTAACAAAGAAGAGAGCTAAGCCGGCTGTTCCATTAGGAGCAAACTATAGGCTGATCGATATTCCTGTTAGCAATTGCTTGAACAGTAACATATCGAAAATCTACGTTCTGACTCAATTCAATTCTGCTTCTCTGAACCGCCACCTTTCCCGCGCATATGCTAGTAACATGGGTGGTTACAAGAACGAAGGGTTCGTCGAGGTTCTTGCTGCTCAGCAGAGTCCTGAGAACCCAAACTGGTTCCAGGTTAGTCGCTACTGAAATGTGTTTTGAATTCTTTCTGGAATTTTGGATTTTAACTTTAGAAAATTATCTTTGAATGTATAGGGGACAGCTGATGCTGTGAGGCAATACTTGTGGTTGCTTGAGGAGCATAATATTTTGGAATTCTTGGTTCTTGCTGGGGACCATTTATATAGAATGGACTACGAAAGGTTCATTCAGGCGCACAGAGAGACTGATGCTGATATCACTGTAGCTGCATTACCGATGGATGAAAAACGGGCTACTGCTTTTGGTCTGATGAAGATCGATGAAGAAGGTCGTATAATTGAATTTGCTGAGAAACCCAAGGGCGACCAACTAAAAGCTATGAAGGTATTGAAGTTATGCTGTTACTGTTCTTCTGGTTCTGGTTTTGATTATTATGCTGTTGTTTTAGGTCGATACAACAATTTTAGGACTTGATAATGAGAGAGCAAAGAGATGCCTTACATTGCTAGTATGGGCATATATGTTTTCAGTAAAGATGTGATGTTGAATCTTCTTCGAGACAAATTTCCGGGTGCTAATGATTTCGGAAGTGAAGTTATTCCAGGTGCTACTTCCATTGGACTGAGGGTAAGTTTCTTTTGGTATATTACTCCCTTTGAATGGCTGCTATGATCATCGAGATGACCAGTATTCTTGTATAAGGAATAGATGAGCTTATCTGACAACAAAGTAACTAGTTTGTTTGCATTTTAGCATATAGCAGTCAAGTCCTTTTTCACTTTTATGAAAAACTTCCATCTTGTTTAAGCACGATATACTTCTGCAGCAGCATATTTAATAAGTTGAATATCTGGAGATTTGAACTGTGTTTTGTCTTGTTTCTAGCAATTAACAGTTTTAAATAAAAAGAATATTTCCAAGATATACATTCATTTTGTGAGCAGCTTAAGTGGGATTGTACTCTCATAAGTGTATCTCCTAAACTCTTGCAACAAGTTTGTTATGTATGCTTCGTTGATGCTTCAGTGCTTTTGCCTGAATGGAGTTCGTTTATGTTGTCGTATTTATTTTTTCTTCAAATCAGTGTGAATTACTAATTCTGGAGGTCTAATTGCTTGTTAACCTATCTAGGTGCAAGCTTACTTGTATGATGGCTACTGGGAGGACATTGGTACCATCGAGGCATTTTATAATGCAAATCTGGGAATCACTAAAAAGCCTTTGCCAGATTTCAGGTAGTTCTGGTTCATAAATGCACAAGTATTTGACTAGCTTGGTTATAAATATAATTACTGTGTTGGCTCTGCACTTCAGCTTCTATGACCGTTCGGCTCCAATCTACACCCAACCTCGTTATTTGCCACCATCCAAAATGCTTGATGCTGATGTTACAGATAGTGTTATTGGTGAGGGTTGTGTTATTAAGGTGAGTACCCCTGGGGCTAGGTTGATAAGTTGTTTAGTTTTTCTGGTTGGAGATGGTTTCTAATATTCACAGGATAAATGGAAATTAGACAACTTTTATGAGTTAATCCTCTGCATATTTTGGTTAATTACAGAACTGTAAAATTCACCATTCTGTTGTTGGTCTTCGATCTTGCATTTCCGAGGGTGCAATCATAGAAGATACCTTACTGATGGGAGCAGATTATTATGAGGTAGTGTAACCTCAGAGTTATTAGCTCTCTTTTCTATCCCTTTCTTTAATATATCATTTTCGTATGTGAGTCACCCTCAGTAATCTGTATTTCCTCATTGTCTTCCTCCAGACTGATGCAGACAGGAGGTTTTTGTCTGCAAAGGGCAGTGTTCCAATCGGTATCGGAAAGAACTCACATATCAAGAGAGCCATTATTGACAAGAATGCTCGAATCGGAGACAATGTGAAGGTTGGTCATTATTTTATTTGTTAATTTACTGTGATTTCTTTTATGGTTTCAACACAGTAATTAAACCCTTCTCCTTGAAAAGAGGCGTGTTTACTGACAATTTGCTAACAAATATCACCTTGACGCTCTGCTGCTTGGATTCCCTAGTTCCTTTTTTGATGACACTCTCTGTAGATGAATCCCAATGCAATAATAAAAAGAAGAAGAAAAATACAAGTTTTGCAGCATTTATGGTTGACTCACAAATTTGGAACTATTTATTTATCACATTTAATAATTCTATGTTCATGAAATTCTCGAGGTTAGATCTTAACCAAGAATGATGGTTTTTTACAGATCATCAACAGCGACAACGTTCAAGAAGCTGCAAGGGAAACAGATGGATATTTCATCAAGAGTGGGATTGTGACAGTAATCAAGGATGCCTTGATTCCCAGTGGAACTGCAATCTAAGAAGGCAAAGCAGAGGTACCGTTCCATTAGTTTTTCTCTGAGAAAGTAATGCAATAGCAAATTACTACCACTTACCCCTCATGTGTAGTGCCTTTTCTTCTTTTCTCTTCTAATATGATGTATACTTTTAGGTACTATAATATAAATATATATTAAATAGTGAGAGGACCTGCAAAATGAAACAATGCAGTCAAGAAATCTGCAATAAATTATTAGTTTCAGCTTAAATAAATAAATAAAAAAACTATTGGCAATAAATTATGTGCAATGCTAATAATGTTTTATTAACTTGAAATTATGTCAGTTAAAGCGAAAAGATAGAAAAATTCATGTTTACATGGTGTGTATTTATATAATGATTTTAGAATTTATATGTTTTGCACTAATGGTGTATAAATTTTATACCCAATCAGTAAATTAGATTATACCACATGGCCAACTTATATTACAGTTAAATTTACTTAATTTAATTTCTAATGATATCTTATTCACCGATGATCAGGCAACATTAATGTATAATCAAAAATAAATTTTGATTACACTCACGTATTCTGATATTTAAAACAACTCAATATCAATCATTCAATTATCTATGTTGTCATCTTGTCCTCCACAATTTCTGAAACTTCAGAGTTTGTTTTTAATGCTCTTGAAAAGGATATGAAGATTCTCACCTTGGAATGGAATGGGTGATGGAAAAGGTTTGAAAAGTTTACTCTTTTAGCTCCAATCTCCATCATTTGAAAGAGAGAGAATGAGAAAATATAACAATACTGAAAATCAAGTAATTTGTATTCCAAGTCCACGTCCAAACAAGTTAGGACCATTAATTAGTGTGCAATCTTCGACAAATGGGTAATTTGTATTCCAAGTCCCCCAACTCTTTAACACAATCCCAAAAAAAACCTATTTCAAATTCATTTTAGGTCCAATCCTCGTTCGATTTAATCCATACTTGACCCACCATCACTAAACAAGTTCGCTTTTTCTTCATCTAAACTCGGGTGAAATTACGAACTTTAACTCCGAAATTTGGGACTTTACAAACAATTTTAATGGTTATTATTTTATACATTAGTAATAAAACCATTTTTATAAACAATTTTAATTTATTGCCATGTATATTTTTTATCTTAATAAAATGTTGTTATATAATCTTAATTAAATCTGTCCATTAAAATATAAATGATTATTATTTGATATATTAATAGTGTTATTCTTTTTTATAAATAATTTTAATTTATTGTTGAGTGTTTTTAATTAATGTTTAAATAAACAATTAAACTATCAATTTTCAAATAATTATACAAATATAAAAAATCATTTTTAGTAGACAAAAAAAAAGAATTTATGACATTATTCAATAGATATTTTTATATTAAAAACTTGATTACAATGAGAAAGGATTGTTATATGAAAACTTATTAAAATGAAATCGGAATTAGAAGACGGGTGACATTTGCTATGCCCGTCGTCGACTTATGGTCGATTTCGGTGGTGTCATTTGAAAACGTGGAGGATTTCGAGCTGGACGTTGACTCCTCCAATTCACTGGAGGATCTTCCCTTGCACTTCGATGACTTATACGATCCAATTTTTCTTGTCATATTAGAAACACCAATCAAAAGAGTGAGTACACATAGCAACTTGTGAAATATATATATATATATATATATATATATATATATATATATATATATATATATATATATATATATATATATATATATATACGTAAAAATATAACGAAATTACTATTGATTTTAATCTTTGAGTTTATGGGGGAAAGAAGTAAAAGAAGTTGTTCCCTCTTTTTGTCTAATTATATATGATAAGCAAATATTTTTTAATTCAAATTTAGGTTTGTAATATATAAATAAATAACTTTATGTATTAAAATATTCTAAGGATTTAAAATTTGACATAATGCCAAAATAGCCCCCCAACATTTACCAAAATGGTCATTTTGCCCCCTATTCTTTTTTTAATAGCATTTTGGCCCCCAACGTTTCACTTTGGGACAAAAAGTTCCCTCTATAGATGAAAATCACTAGTTAATATACTATTAACGCTCCAAAATAAAAATATTTTTAACCTAAAATGAAACGTTAAGGGCCAAAATGCCCTAGAAAAAAAGAACAAGGGACAAAGTGATTATTTTATCAAACATTATGGGTCTTTTTGTCCTAAAATAAAACGTTGGAGGTCAAAATGCTAAAAAATATAATAGATGGCAAAATGACTATTTTGATAAACGTTAGGGGCTATTTTTGGTATTATCCTTAAAATTAAATAGGTACCTTTGATAGCCGAGAAGTGAGGAATCCTTGCTTGAACAAAGGAACTCAGCAATGATAAAAGTAGAAAGGCAAGGAAAACGGCACCACTCTTCATCGTTTTGCTACCTTTTTTTGCTTTGCAAGTTTTAGAGTTCAAGCTCTTAATTTAACCATACATAAAGAAACATTAATATATATATATATATAGTAAAATAATTGATATCCACATAGAATAATATGAATATATATATATATATAGTAAAATAATTGATATCCACATAGAATAATATGAATATTTCAAAGGAACGTTAATATCGACATAGAAAATATCAATATTTCAAAGGAAAAACCTCTTCATTTTCTCATTTGTTCTAGCTCACACAGGGAACACGCAGCTGACTTTCCCTCTCCAACGTAAGTCGACCGCAGTGTGAGCTTCACCTACCAAAATTTTTGAGGAAAAAAAAAACATTCAGACATTATTCAGTCACGCCTGTCTTACAAGCTGAATATTTGATAATATATTAGTGTTAAATATTTGATAGTGTATAGTACTTTCGGATTTAACAAGATTAATCTCTGCATAAATTTTTAAGCACATATACATAGGCAGAGGTCATATGTAGTTCCTACAAAAAATATGTTTAAAAATCATTTTAAATATATTTTTTAAAATTTCTCAAATATTTAATTAAAATGATTTTAAAAATATATTGTTCAAACATTCAATTAAGATAGTTTAAAGAAAAAATTTAAATCTTTAAATTATAGAATCAAAGAAATTTTGTAATTTTTCCTCTTCTTTCTTTAGTATGAACAAAGATAAATCAATAAAACTAGAATCGTAAATAGAGGCCAGTAACTTAGAAAGTCTTAGTCATCTAAAGAGTTTTCTTGTATTTTCTTCTATTTATTGACCAAATGAAATTGTTTTATTTTTCTGAAGAAAATTCTTTTAGACGACAATGTTTTCTTATATTGTGTAGTTCCTTCTCTTTTATTTTTGTTTATTTTTCTTCATTCGCAGGGAAGAAAAGAAAGAGTATTGAATTCTCTATCTATGTAAATTAGAATTTTTTTTCTCTTCAGACTATTTAAATTTTAGATATTAAATTTAATTCTAAATTATATAAATCATAAAATTTTAAGTATTTAATTTTTATTATTAATAAATTAAATAACTAATACTAACACATTAAATAGTTTTAACCTAAAAACAAATTGATATGTTTACAAATATTTTTTTTTTACATTTTAAATAATTTTTCTTCTAGGGTTTTTTTTACACCTTAAATTTAAAGAAAAATAACAAAAATTTCTAATTTACATATAAAGAATTTATTTATTTTATTGTTTTTCTTCAATGTGAATAATAATAAAAAAAAACTAGAATCATAAATAGGAACCACATAATCTAAGAAAAACTGGGTTATCTAAAATATTTTCTTAAAAAATAAACAAAACTAGAATCATAAGGAGCCACATAATCAAGGAAGCATGCTCTTATATATTCTTCAACTTATGATCAAATAAAATTATTGTGTTTTTCTTGAGAAAAATCTTTTAAATGACTCGGGCTTTCTTGTATCATGTAATTCCTAATTACGTTTCTAATTTTATCTTCATTTACATTAAAGAAAAGAAAGAAAAAATATTAAATTCTTCACACACATTAAAGAAAAGAAAGAAAAAAATTTATCTATAAACATCAAATCAAGTGAAATTCGGCCATTAGAAGATTCATAGGGAATGCTAATTCCAGATTTACAAAGTTTTCAAAAAAGTTTTACAACATTGTAGCAAATTTCTCCATAATATAGGCAAAAGAGGAGATAACAGTAACTTCTACTTTTTACATTATCAGCCACCAACCTAATTTAGTGAGAGATAACCACAAAACAGACATATTATCATCCAGAAACATTACCTTAGTCTAGAAAGGAATCAGTGCCCCCTAGTTAATTTTCGGGTCCTCTTCGGCCATAATTTTCTTCCACTTATCCTTAAGGTCAACCGGAATACGATGCTGTCGAAAACATTATGACCGAATTCCATAATTTTCCTCCAGGGGATGTTTTGTTTGCAGTCAGTGAAAATCTTCGCACTCCCTCCTGAACGGCAGTCCATAAAAAGAAGTTGATGTAACAAAAAAAAATAAATTGATTGGTTAGCCATTGGCAAGCAGTTAATAAGTTAGCAAATCAAAGTTTATGTTTCAAATATAATGAAAAGAAAACATGAATGTTGCATAAATTGATTTGAATAGATCCCAAAACTTAATATGTACATGCACCAAATACAGTATGGTGTTCATAGTTATACCTTCAGTATGTCTACCTCTTCAGTTGTCCAAGGTAATGGCTTACGTTTTCCATTACCCAGTATCGGATTCATACTGCAATTTAGATGAAATAAACAAGGTAATATCAGTATAATAGGAGTTGACAGGGAATCAGAACACTAACTACAATCTATCAACAAATAAACATGACTCCTTTAATGAATATTACCTTAATCACAATGTAAATCATGAACAACTTACATTTGCTGGTTTAATTCTTGACATTGGACCGAGTATTCAGCTGTTGTAGCTTTTCCTTGGAGGTTTTTCATCTTATCATTGGCACTGGTACCTGGTTGAAAGGAGGGAATCTTTGGTGAATCTACTTGCCAAAGTCGTGCCCTATTAGCTGTGTTTGATGCGCATTCGACGGACAACTGTCCCGGCATCCAAATCAGGTGATACAAACTCAAAACTATCAATGCAGGCACCTTGGATGTAGCATCTTTTGTCATATGTGCTGTACTAGTTCCTATTGCATTTGGCCGAACTAGCCCATCCGTCCCGTTCTTCCCTTGGTTATCTTCCAATAAACCTGTAACTTCAGAAGTTCCATTAGTTGATAAATAAAGTGTATCATTCACAATTTCAAAAGTTTGGGTTGTATGATGTATACGCCAAGCATTCTCATTACTTGCATCATTTTCACTGTTTCTATATCCTCCTCTTGCATTATTTGTCCATCTGCAACATTGTCAACCCCATGAGCTTTGGAGGTACTTTCATCAACAGATTTCTCTTTGCCTTGGACACAATACACATGGTTTGCTCCTGATTACAATATATTGTCTGATTACCATCATCATTAGACCATTTCCACAATCTCCAGAATTTTCTTTCCTTGATGTCGATAGACTAGCTGCTTCATGTGCCTGCTTCATCTTCCTGCTTCTCTCCGTTTCCATCATTCAGCTTCGAATGTATAAAGTTTAACAATTCCTTCTTTGCCAACAAAGCTTCCTTTCTCAATTCTTCAGTCCTTGCTACACATGCTTGTGCCAACAATAAGGACAGTAGAATTTACCGGTATCGTCAAAATCGGGTTCAGTACTCATGTGCGCCTTGTGCATAGCAATGGGGCAATCATTTTCGCTGCAAACCAAGACCGGACTGCTTCCTCCACTGCAGCTATAAGAAAGCCTCCTACCAATCAGCAAGGATACATTTCACTCCTGCAGATTCACCCATCCTCAACACAATCTGGAACTACAGCATTGTCATCCTCATCCTTCTCATTAACATCATCAGGAACCAAATCATTATCATAATAGCCAGCAATGCCTCTACCACTGCCATCACCACCACCTTCCTTCTCAGTGTCATCATCCTTAACATCATCGCTATTATTAGCATTATCTTGACTAGAACCAATGTCCGCTGATTCTCCATTTTCATTACCATGTAAATGATATTCTTCATTATCGTCATCCTATGCCAAAAAATATATGTATAAAAATGCAGAAATGAGACATATTGTACTATAATATTGCAAAAGAAAAGAACTATCAACAGTGGCGGTACTCGGAACCAGATTTTGGAGGGACCTAACTATTTTTTTTAAATAAAGGGATTCGATGAAATTTTAAAAAAATATGGGAGCCAAATTAAAATACTTAAAAACACAAAGTCCAATTGAAAATTTAAAGGGACTAAATTAAAATTTTCGAAACTTGTATGGACTTAATTTTCCCCCAAATCTTGAGGGGGCAAAGACCCTCTCAAGCTATCATCATTGTCCTCCCCTTACTATCAAGTGAAACGAAACGAAAAAGTGGAACAGAATATTCTCACAATTGGTTACTCTAAAGTCGAAGATTCCCGGGAAACAAACAGAAAGTAGGGGAAAACAAAAACAATAGAAGGGAAAGGTACCTGATAGTGGAGTGGATAGATGTATTGGACGTTTGAAGGAGGGATGGAATTCCTTGGTCTGCGCTTAAAGGCCGGAGTTTTTTTTCTCATTTTTTTTCTTTCCAAATTTGAAGGAGCGGAGGGTTTTCTTTTTTTTTTTCGAATGGCAAGAGGGGAATCGCTGATTCAGTTTGGTAGTAGGTTCAACAGAGAGCTTCTGGGTTTGTTTTCACGATTCAGCGGGAATTTTGCCGGGCTGGGAAGTTGGAAAATTTTCCCTTTCAATATGCCTCGACTAAGCCCGGCACTAAACTCGGATGAAAAATAGTTACAAATAAATTTAATTGTATCATAAGTTAAAATCGAAAATTAGAGTTAAATATATTAAAAATTAAGAGAAAATAACTTCAGTGACCAAAAATGCCTTATAATATACGATTTTAATCAATTTTTTTTGGATTTACCAAAATGAACAACTAAATCGCAATGCGATCGATAATTCGCAACGCGATCTCCGATATCGCAAATCAGTTTCCAGATTCGCAACGCGATTCTGACTATCGCATTGCGATTTCCCAAATTCGCATTGCGATTTTCCTAATTCGCAATGCGAATACGTAAATCGCAACACGAATTTGGAAAATCACAATGCGAATACGTAAATCGCAATGCGAATCTGTAAATCGCAATGAGATTCTGACTATCGCAATACTGAATTTCAAATTCGCAACTCGATTTCTGAATTCGCAACAGGTTTTAATTTCGCAACACAAATGTTTTGGGTATATAACTACGCAACAACATCAACTCATAACCTAAATCCCTAAATCGCAACTCATTCCATCTCCATCTATCACTCTCTCCGGCGACATCCGTTCCTATATCCAACGACATCCTTCCCCATCCGGCAACAGGTTTTAGTTTCGCAGCTCGTTTGTTTAGTAAATTAATTTACAATAATGAAATCATCTAATGTTGATAATGTTTGGATAGATTTGTGTTTTGGAAGGTCATGGGAGAATGTTCATGGTGTTTTACAATATATGTCTTTACCCATGAATCTTCAACTAAAACTGTCATTAAAAAAGTTAACTTATGAAACTCTAATGTTACGTGTTGCAAATAAATTGAATTTAGAGCCCCTAAGTGGATTTAGGCTATCTTATCAGAGAAATGGTAAAGTTTATTTGTTAACCGACAATGAAGATGTTGAACGATTCATTGCTTACATTAGTGTTTCAAGTGATGATGTTACATTATATGTTGTTGAACCTAGAAGTAGTGAAGTTGGGTCAGTAACGAGTAGTAATCAACTAAGTTTTTCGACCCCAGTTTATGGTGCTCAAAATTTAATGGTTCCACCACAATTTCATCATCAAGCAAATATTGTTTCACCACATTTCTAATACCCACAATCTCAAAACCCACAACCTTTCCTAATCCAAATCCCAATCAACTTTCAGCACCAAATTCGGTTTTCGTATTGACCAGTTAGACAATGATGAGCCAACAGAAAAAATTGTGAGTACTAGTCAGTATTCGAAATTTGATCTTGGTCAATACCCGGACTTTGTTCTTGGTCAATACTCGGATTTTGATGATTTTTCAGAAGAAGAAACAGACCCTGCGTGTAATGATTTTGATAATGGTCAATACCCGAATTTTGATGATGAAACAGCCGTTGCCGAGGAAGATGTTGTTGATGATAATGAGGAGGAAGTTACGACTGTAAATGAACATGTTGAACATCTATTCTGTAATTCATATAACACTTAAGAATAAAAAGAAGAAGAAGAAATCCCCAAAGAAAAGTCCCCGAAGAAAACGCCACGGAATATAACTGGAATATGCCAAATTACTTCAGATACCGGAAGAAGAGTTGGTAAAGATAGCAGTTGATTGTTACACAAAAATTATTCGTATCAAGAAGATGATTGTTTTGATACAAGGAAGACTTGAAGATAGCTTTGTATACGAATGTGTGGAAGATGGCTATCAACTAAAAGTTAACAAATCAAGCAAAGATCGTTTCGAAACAAGTGTATGATTGACAAAAACTGTATGTGGCGTTGATTACAAAGAGGATAAAAGATTGCGAAATGTTTCAAGTTAGGACTTTTATGATAAACATACATGTTCAAGAACCCAAGTTTTTCCTCACCATAGACAGGCAAACAAAAATGTGTTGGTGGTTTTCTGGCTGAGTTATTTTTTGAATGGTAGGGTATATCGGGGACATGAAATTATGACTGACATGAATGCTCGATTCAAGATTAGTATCTCATATTCTCAAGCTGGAGAGCCAAATGTTATGCCTTGGAATTGTTGAGGGGGTCGCCAGAAGCATCGTTTGCCCAACTGTCGGCTTATTGTCACAATTTAAAGCTGAAAATCCTGGGTCGGTAACTCATATCAAAACAGATAGAGATGGACGCTTTGAGTTGCTGTTTATCGCCATTGGTGCTGCGGTTAGTAAATCATAATTTTGTTGACTCATTTTTGTTAGTTACAGCATTTCACATTTAAATGATTATATTTCTTGTGTATATGATTTTGTAGATTCGTTCGTTTATATTGCATGCGCCCAGTTATTATAGTTGACGGAGCACATTTAAAAGGTCGATACCTTGGAGTAAACTTATTAGCAGTAGCCATGGATGCTAACAATGGGAACTGCCAATAGCTTACAGGGTTGGCAAATCTGAAACCTCTGATCATTGACATGGTTTATGGGCATCTAGGGATTGCATAGTCCTATTAGCAATCGAATCATATCCGATAGGGCAAACTCAATTGACAACGCTGTTAGAATGTGTTTTCCCAGATGCTTTTCATGGACTTTGTGGTGTTCATTTGTATAGAAATCTAAAATCAAGGTCTGCTGTATAAAAAAATCACAAATGGACATACTGGAAGGCTGTAAAAGCTTATCGGGAAGTGGATTTTAATAAGCATATAAACTGTTAAGACGTGTTTTGCCTCAGTGTGGCTCAAACACTAGAAGATGTCGGGTTTGAAATATGGTCAAGAGTACATCAACTTGGAGCAAGATATGGTTTCATGACGTCTAATAGTGCAGAATCAATCAACGCTCTAAGTCGTCATTCCCGGAAATTACCCATTACTATGTTAATGGAGTTTTTTCGAGCCTCTATTCAACATTGGTACTACAAGAAAGAAACCATGCATGTATTATTCTTTAAATTCGTAACTTATCATATCTTTTACTAAGTATATTTATTTAAATTTATAGGAACATTGGAACATCGTGTTACACATGGACAGAAAAAAAGATAACGAAACGTGTTGTGAAGTCAACGTCATGGAGAGTTGAACCATGTTCAAACATTTGTTTGAAATACTGGATAATAACTTAAATGGGCTTGTCGATATAATGCAAACTGTAGTTGTATGAAATGGCAAACATCTGGTTATCCGTGTGGCCATGTTATAAAAGTTTCTATTCATCTAAACCAAGATGATTCAAGCGTATACGCTATGGATTGCTACACTACAGAAGTATATCGACAGACTCATGGCGAGATTGTCTACCATATTCCACATTCTTCTGAGTGGGACATACCAGATGACTTACAAACAGTTTTGCCACCAGCCATGGACAGAAGGCTACCTGGCCGACCAAAAAGTCACGATCGTATACCGTCTAAGGGTGAAGAGAAGAAGAGATCGACATGTAGTTGGTGCAAGGAAAGTGGTCATACAAGGTTGACATGTGGATCACCAGTGCCATCACGATCATCTTTTCCTCTACCAAAATATGGATCCTCATCAAAATCCCAATCACAACCGGCTTCACCTTTTGGGATTGTTAACTTAGGTGATTTTTAAATGCAAACGTGTATTATGTGTATATTATGTGTGAACTTTTAACATTTTCAGTTAGGCATGTATTAGTAACTTGAGTTTGAACATTGCTATGATATGTTTAGTTGTTATCACTTATTAGACATTCATTTGACTATCGCAACGCGGAAATCGCAACGCGAATATGACTATCGCAACACGGAAATAACTATCACAATGCGGAATTGACTATCGCAACGCGGAAATGACTATCGCAACGAGAGAATCGCAATGCGAAATGAAAATCGCAATGCGAAAATGAAAATCGCAACGCGAAATTAGTTTCGCGTTGCGATTTTCATTTTTGCATTGCGATTTTCATTTCACATTGCGATTCTCTCGTTGCGATAGTCATTTCCGCGTTGCGATAGTCTGTTTTGCATTCAACATAATGCAGATTGAAATCAACAAATCAACTATTACATTTCAATCAATTAAATAAGCACAAATATTATGTACACATCAATTAAACAAATCAACATTTACAAATCATGTTTTACAAATCAATTAAACAATCAAAAAATAATAATGAAATCAACTTTTGCACCCATATATCCATTTCACGCAGCTCACTTCAGGATTAACCTGCATAAACCAAACATTGAATCAACAACACTTTCACATCTAAAACCTACAAACAAACATTATGAATTCTAGCTACTTAACCAAACATTTTCAAACCAAAAAGAGTAAATATGTTTAACAACACTTGCATTTGACTTACAAATTGTTTATGGACACTTTCATAACACGGATACAGATAGACATCGTCTTGCATATATCACTCTAGCCATAAAATGCCGAAACCACAAGCCCACTGCACCTCTATCTCTATCGGTGGGAGGTAGAAAATATGTATTTCCTGTCGTCAAACGCTCCAAGCACATGCATACGAGAGGACCACAATCCCCTCTGGCTTCATTCGTTTGTTGTGGCACGGTCTCGTCTCTGATAACTGTAACATTTAACTTCTTTGGCTTCTTGTTTCCAGACTTAGTCCAATAATCAATTGCATCCAAGAATTTAGCCAAATGAGAGCTTTATACTTTAATCATATCTCTCAAATCAGACAATGATATGTAATTTATCATGCTGTCATAAACTATTATCTTTAGGGATGAGAGCTGAAGCTCGACGAGAAGCCAATGAGTACGGTCCAAAACAGGGATAAACACCTGCATCGAAATGTAATAATTCAATTGCGCACTTATTTATGAACACCTTTAAAATATTTAAACAAATATACTAACCTTATCAACCTCCCACCATGCAGGATAAAGTTTAGCTTGTCTATTAGCCAACACATATGATTCCTGTCGTTGATTCTTCAAGTGAACTACGTGAAAAGATGTCGGCATAATTGTATATCGCATTTTTTTAATATTTTTCTTCAATTTCCTTACAATTAGAAGACGTGTCACCCGTGCATCAATAT